CCCAAAAACACGAATAAAACTATAATTAGGTGACTTTTGAAAAAGAATCTCAAATGGAGACAGACCATGCAAAACAAGGGACGGTAAACGATTAATAACATAGGCAGCCGTATATAAAGCATCAACCTAGAAACCGGAAGGTAACTGAGCTTCGATAAGCATGGTGCGAGAGAGCTCAAGTAAATGCCTATGTTTTTGTTCAGTCACACCATTTTGCGTGGGTGTATTCGGGCAAGATTTTCGAAAAAGTATGCCACATTTGAGAAAATGATTTTGAAAAGATGAATTAACAAACCCACCACCACCATCACTTTGAAAACATTTAATTTTACAGTTAAATAAATTTTCAACTAAATTTTCAACATTCAATTATTCTTTCAACCATGTGAAAGAATAATTGTGGAATAATGGCTTAACCCATCAGGGAGCCTTAGTGTTGTATTTATAATAAGAATATTAAGAGTAATTACACACAAATCCTTATAATTACACTATTAAGTATTAGAACATCGAGTTTTAGACTTTCCTACATGTTCAACTTCAGATTTGTGTATGTGCGCGCAGGCTGACATTTGAATAAAAAGCTTGAATAACACAAGGTGTCTAATCACAATCTAGATACTCAAGTGAACCAACAGGAGCACAAACACAATTATATAACTTCTTGGAATCCAAGCTTTCTACTCCTTATCAACTTTTACCCAATACACAGGGGCGGCCCTAGGGGTGCAAGTGGGGCGGGCGCCCTAGACCCAAAAAATATGGGTAAAAAATAGGCCCAAGTTTAGTTCTTTGTAACAATTTTTCGGACCTAAAGTAACAATTTTTCGAGTGGAATTTGTTGAAATTCTTCTGAATGGATTTTTTAGCGAAACTTATGATCATGTTTTCTACGAAGTTTAGAGTATGTGAAAAAAAATCAGTTTAAAGTTTAATTTAAAAGTCACCTAAATAAATTATTGAAAACACTGCTTTTTTATACATATTTTGGCGCATTGTGTTTCAATGATTTATTTAACTGACTTCACGATTGCATTTTAAGCTTAAATTTTATGGACATTATCCACACGTGATGAAAAACATTCTCTTAAAATTTCATAGAGAAATTCCACTCGAAAGCATATTAGTCTGATATGATTATTTGATTAGTTTATTAATTGATTCCATTCATGGTTGTTTGATTTCTTGATGGTTGATTGTTTTCTATTGAGTGTTGGTGTTATAACTTCTTGATTTTGATAGACAAACATTTTCAATTAGGATAAAATTTATAAACTTAATTAATTTCAAAGTATAATACAGAGTAAAAAGGATGGAATCTGATCTGAATACGATAAATACAAAAGAATAGAAGATTACAGAAAGCGGCTATAAGTAAAAAAAGCTCAATGGAAAAGTTGTTTGTGTAAAGAAGTCAAATTCTGAATGTTCTCAAGATGAGAACACATAGTCAAATTCTAAATGTCTTGAAATGTTATTATTATTATAATTATTATGCATGTCATTTAAGATAGAAAAGAGTTCTACAAATTTTTTGTAACATTAGGCCCATTTTAATTTTCCACCCCTAGGCCTTCGAACATACAAGGCCGCCCCTGCCAATACATAAAGTACCCATAAAGGAGTACTGTAGAGACATTTCTTTAATTAAGCCGCAAGAAGATACTTTCAAGGATGATATTCAAAATTAAAGGCCTTACCTAATTATAATATTCTTATGAAGTAGTTAAAATAATGTTGTCTAAAAGGAAGTTTTTTTAAAAATGTGCGTTTATTAAACTTTTAGTATTTATTATTATTATTATTATTATTATTATTATTATTATTATTATTATTATTATTATTATTATTATTATTATTATTATTATTATTATTATTATTATTATTATTATTATTATTATTATTATTATTATTATTATTATTATTATTATTATTATTATTATTATTATTATTATTATTATTATTATTATTATTATTATTATTATTATTATTATTATTATTATTATTATTTATTTGTTTGTTTATCGTTACTCTCATTCGCGTGATAAAACAATAATATGGTCTATACTTATGTTTATATGTTAGCATTTATATCATTTCCATTTTTCATCCCGGGCAACGCAGCGGTGGAATACTAATCTTCTTTAATCCTCCTTTTCTAACTTTTTTTTAATTATATTCGACTTTTAAATCTTAGACTCCAAGCTTAGAGGGAATATAGAAAAATGAAATAAAAGAATTCTCATTTTTAGCTTATACGTATAATTTTATGTTTTCATTTTTTTTTGGATGAAATGTAAATATATATTAACACCCAGAAAACCTATACATCACATATCCTAGATCTCCTAAAACCTCCCCCACCCCCACATAATGCGGTGGTGAAAGGGGGTTTTTATTTGATATAATCCATGCCAAAATAACCAAGTATAATACTTGGTCCATCAAGAGGTTCACAAAAGTACATCAGTGCTGCCCTTGCACGCACACAGATCAGAGGCTAAATTCTAAACAAAGTACAAAAGGATTTTCTAAATCAAACACCATAAAGTCCAAGACCATGCCGCCACATCCATGATGTCCATGCCGCAGTGTATCAAGTGCCCAAGCTGCGATATCTATAATATTCCATGCCTCGGCGCACCAAACAAAAATGTAGCAGTCTATTCGACACCTCGGCATCCATAAAATCCATGTCGCGGCCTTCTACTCAGAAATTAATCAAGTCATGCGGGTATAAATTGAAAAGTATTTTATACACCACATGCTTGATTTTTGCAATGACTTCCTCTTCCTTGACGTCCCCTTCATCAAATCGGTTGGTGTTCCTAGCATGCCAAAGGTAGTAAACCGTGGCACCAAACGCAATCCGGACAGCCTTCCCTTTGATCTTTGATCCTTTATGATCTTTCAAGATCCATTTGACAGAGCTGCAAAGCGTGGTCATCTCTCGAGTCATGCCCAACCATTCCTTAATTTTTCCCCAGACCCTACAAGTGTAATGACAACGAAAAAATAGGTGTAGCATTGTTTCCAATCCACCCTTGCACAGGTCACAACGATTAACAATATGTAGGTAACCGAGGTTATCCTGTGTAGGTAACCGGTTCCTCATAGCGAGCCATACATTGAATGAAAACTTCGGAGGGATGTAAGACTTCCAAATGAAGCTCATCCAGACTCTCGACGTCCCCTTAATTCTCAACAATTCATAAATCTTTCCGGAAAGGAGTTTACCATTTACGGATCTACTATTTAGGCCCATAATTGTATCATTCAAATTGTTAAAGCATCCCAAAATTTGGTCCCGAATTTGACTCAGTTTCTTCATGAACATTGAGTCACGATTGTGTGGGATAAAATCACACACACTCCTACCATTGAGGTAAACCCCATTTACCCACCTCACCCAAAGTGTGTCTTTCTTCCTATGGACATCCCAAAGTGTTCGAGAGAGGAGAGCATGGTTCCAAATCTTTGCATTATGAATGCCAAGGCCTCCTTCCTCTTTTGGTAGACAAATGTCGTCCCAAGCCACTTTAGAATATTTCCCACCCCATAGAAAAATTCGGCAAATAGTAACTATCCTATCTAGGATTGTTTGGGGGACCGGGAAAACCTGAAGCCAAAAAGATTGGACCCCTTGGATCACGGATCTTATCAACTCTAATTTTCCGGCATAGGATAAAGTCTTTGTGTTCCAAGCCTTTAAAAAGTTTGAAATTGTATCAAGCAACGGTGAATATTGCGCCACAGAAACCTTTAGAGGGGCCAGTGGAATTCCGAGGTATTTGACCGGGAATGTGCCACGGCCAAAGTCGACAAGGGCCATGATCTCCTGGAGATCATTTTCATTAACTCCACCTACAAAAATGTTTGACTTATCATGATTCACTTTAAGGCCTGAAGCATCCCCAAATTCTTCAAGGACTTTGACAAGTATTTCTATTGAATAAGTGTCTCCCCTAGAGAAGAGTATTAAGTCATCTGCATAGGCCAAATATAATGTGTCAATCCTAGTTTTGCACATTGGGGGTGAAACTTAAAATTTGGCCCTTTGGTTTTCAAATTAATAAGTCGAGAAAAATATTCTAAGCAAAGGACAAATAACAATGGAGACATTGGATCTCCTTGCCGAATACCCCTCTTACCCTCAAAGAAACCATACAAAGAACCATTCAAGGAGACGGAGAATGAAGCCGTGGTTACGCACTCCATAATCCATCCAACTTTCATAATGCTAGAGAATGTGTGAGTGCCTCGTGTTTGGTGCATGTGTATGTGTGTAACTTTACATAGTTAATCACCCTAGTCACAAAATGAAATTGTATAATGTCTCTAGGGCCCTTTATTTTACATTGTCATGAGCTCATAAACTTTCAGGACTAACCCTGTGTCCCTGTCCAACTTCAAATAAAATACGGAGTAATACGGAGTACTAACAAACGTTGAAGCAGTATTGAATATTACGATATTACGTTGGATTCATCGAGCAAACAAACTAAGAGGCCGTTTGGTAGCACGAAAATCGGTTGTTTTGGCTGATTCTACTGAAATTTATGAAGTTCTGAGTGAAGTGGCTGCATTGGCTGATTCTGTTGATTTAAGAAAGAATTATTTTGAAAATATATTTTATTAATAAAATAAAGAAATAATTATATGTAAAAAGTAGTTAAAATGGTCATCCACATTAACTTCAGCCAATACAGCCAGAAAAGTAACTTCAGCCTTTTTCTGCTTATTACACAATCCAGCGCGCGAAAGCAAAAATTACGTGTTTGGTAAAAAAGTTGGCTGATAAGCCTGATAAGCCGAAAAACAGTGTTGTCAAACGGTCTCTAAACTATTTTATGTAGGGGTGTGCATAAACAGGTCCGAATCAGTCTGGAGTCTGGACCGGTTGCTATCAGGTCCAGTCTCCGGTCCATCCAAACTACAGATTCCGATTCCGATCCTAACCGGTTCCGGTTCTGGTCCGATTTTGGACCGGTGGACACCCCTAATTTTATGAATAAGGGACCTCAATGAGAAACAGTTTTGTTAGAGGTGCCACTATATGTGATTAACTGATAACTTAATACCATGATTGCTTTCCTGAATTCCTTCTCAACCGGAATGAGTAGAATGGTGCTGATACATTCTTTAAAAATTAGGGTGTTATGATTATAATAATTTCTTTAAAATGTTAAGCGCCATTAAAGTGGATTTGTTGGGAAAACAGACCTGATTCATACTCTTTGTTGTTGTTCTACATTAAGATTACTACTATTTAATACTTCCATTCATTGTATCTCTGGCAAGTGGCAAGTAACACGTACTAGGGGTGGCTGGGTGCATTCAAGCGAGTCAAGCCTGAGTAAGACTATACTTGAGGTCGAGTTTGTAAAAAATTGAATTACTCGAACTCAGGCTCAATCAAGTAGTGGAATTCAAACTCGAACTCGACTCAAAAGGGTACCAAAAAAACTCAAATTTCGACTCGAAGAACTCGAATTTTTGTGCAATCCTTTTCAAGCCCAAATACTCGACATTACTCAGAGTTTTAGTAGGGTTATGTAATATGTAATATAACTAGTTTCAACATGCAATTTGACGAAATGAAACAGAGATGAGTGGACAAGCCCTAAATTGCTCGTTTCAGAGGCTGAGGTCCTAGATGCGTTACTTCTTTTGCCCAGTAATCAAAACCTATTATTGCAGAATTCAAGTTATGAAATGCCACGATAATTGAGAGTTCAAGTAAAACAGCTTTTATTTTAGGGTACACAAGATATATCATATGTACACACATCACACAGGAGGAAAGGGTGGCGGAATACAAGCTATGTACAAGGAAATATGAGCAAGGCTAACTAACGAAAAGACCAAAGACCACTTCATCCATGATAGTAACAAACGACAGACCCTGCACGAAGACCCCATTTCCTAAAAACAGCCTTGCTAGCTGATTAGACAATTGGACAAGTAAATACCAGAGATTACACCGAAAGAGGTATCATTACGCTGAAAATGCTTGTTACATCCAGTTCTTATGACTCGCCATGTCCATTTTCTTTGTTAGCAGCGACATTAAAGCTCCGCCATGTACCCTCCCTTCGCCAATTCTGTCTGGGCTGCTAGGTTCCTTAACATCAAAACATTTGCTCCCAAAGGGACATGACTCAGTCTGCATGATGTCAACGTCCATGACATCATGAGTGGCAGTAACATTCAACTTCTCAGGTTTATTGTTAGGTGTTGTATCATTTACTACAACACCGATATTGGCCCCGCCATGTACCCGATTGTCCTGCACTAGAGCACCATGTGATGCACATAACCCCATTTTACCCCTAGCCAGTGAGTTACAAGGACCATCACCTATGCCAAATTCACGACCAGGTTGACCCCACGAACACCTCTTTCCCCCACCATGTGCCTTGCAGAATTCAGTGCTTCCTTGGGCACTTTTCCCACACCCTTCAAACTTACATCTTTTCCCCCCACCATGACGCACACAAAAATCTGTTCGGCCCCTTGCGCTCTTCGTGCAGTCAGTGACGGCACACCTCTTACCGCCCCCATGTGCTACACAGTAAAGAGTCCCTCCGTGCACACTTTTTGGGCAAACCCCTCCATTTCCTTGGAAGGAACATCTTTTTCCTCCGCCATGGCCCTTGCAATAGGGTGTGCTCCCCTCTGCACCCTTTGTACACCCTTCAAAGCTGCAACGCTTACCACCCCCATGCGCCTTGCAGAACATTGTGCTTCCTTGTGCCCCTTTGGAGCATTGCGGATATTGACATCTCCTGCCACCGCCATGTGAAATGCAGAGTCCAGAAAGGCCTTCGGCACTCTTGGTGCAGTTCTCTTTTTGGCATCTCTTGCCTCCACCATGTCGAATGCACAGCCCAGATTTCCCTCTGGCGGCACGGCTGCAGCCCTGGTGGCTGCAACGACGGCCACCTCCGTGTGCGATACAGAAATCTGTACGTCCTTCAGCACTTTTTGTGCATCCTAGGAACTCACACCGACGACCGCCACCATGGGCCTTGCAGAATGCAGTTCGACCCTCTGCTCCTTTGTGGCATCCGGATTTCTGGCACCTCCGGCCACCACCATGGGCAATGCAAAGGCCGGAAGCACCTCTAGCTCCTTTCACGCATCCCTCGAACTGACACTGTTTGATACTACTACGTTGCTGCTGCTCTAGCTGATTTGTCACCCCAGAAGTACAGGTTAAAGAGCTCTTTAGGTTAGTCATGCGACTCAAACAGGGATCATGAGAAGCAAGATCTTGATTGATAAAGTGACTAGCCTCAGAGCTATTCTCTGTCTGTAATGGATTGAAAAGACTCCCACTTTTCCAAGAAGATGACGTTGATCCTTCATCTACTTTTGCTCCAACAGTAGTGTCTGGCAGAGTCATGGAACCATGTGACGAAGTAAAACATTGATTCAGAATAGTAATACCAGATTCACTAGGGCCACTGGAAAGGCTCAGTTCCAGATCAACATTAACCGGTATATCAAAGGCATGTTCTTTCTGACAGCTAGCGGACTTGATGCTAGGGCTCAGTGACTTTTCATTGCCAATATGGAGAGTGAAATCCAATTCTAGGTCCATAGAGGACTCTGCATCAGTTTCTTTAGTTGAAGACGTTGAAGTGCAGATGGTCGCAGTGGCTGAGCTCATGTTACTCTCAGAGGAGCTGGATGAATGGCCCAGGCCCAAACACAGAGAGGACCCAGACAGCTGGTTGATAGGTCCATCAATCAAGCTCCATTTCCTTTTGATTCCCTTTGGGAAATTACCACATGAGACAAAAGAGCTAAGAGAATCAAGTCGCAAAGTGGTATCAGCGCAACCATCTCGAATTCCCACTCCTATTTGAATTGGATTCTTCACACTATTATACGCATTCAAGGTCAGGTCCACAGCAAAATCAGAACTGTGGAATCTGGGATCCATAAACCTTGAATCTAAACCTTGACAAAGTTAGCACTGAGCCAAACCTTAAAATAGTAAAAGAGCACTTAACCTGACTTCTGGGCTAACGAACAGACTAAATTAGTAACAAATTAAGAGCAACCTGTCCACAAAACAGCACATCCCACCCCCACTTACAAAACCTGATGTATCACGTCGATCCATTTCTTTAACAATTTAATCCCGACAGCTAAGTGTCAGCAATGGCAATGCATGGAAAATATAAGCAATCTTGAAACCATAATCAGAAGATAACGACAAACCATCATCCTGCATTATAAAGAAATATGTTATGAGCGGCACTAGGTTGCACATTGAAGTACAAAAATAGAGTGCAAAGGACACAAATACACTAAAACAGAAAAGAAAGGTACAACAATAATGCCATCCTTATGAATGAAAAGAAAAGCAAACTAAACATTAATCTATTTAGGTAAAACTGTGTAAGGGAAACATCAATTGATATCCACATATGCTTTTTGTGTTGGAGAGAGATGAAGGGTGGTAGAACAGGTGCCTTAATGGCAGTTTTAGTGAAAGCTTAACAAGTACATTAACCATAAACGAGGTGCATATTGCATTACCCAGCATTAAATTCTACACATGTAACTTAGTAGAACCTTCGTTGGGATTCGGAACTTGGGACAGTAACCCTTTATTTTCAAGAAGAGAGCTTTTATACATAAAATGGATATTATAATCATCCACAATCTTAGACAGACAATATTCGCATCAAACCCAAGCACGAAACATCATCAATATGTGTAGCCATAGGCAATAGTGCATTACTCGGCTCCACACTCAATATAGAGAACACCGCCACGGGACTTCCAATAGTCTAGAATCTTACATCCCCCTAAAACCCTATATGCTTTAACATGACTTATATTACTAGCACCACAAACACTAAACAATTATAGGGCTTCAGCCCTGCTCACATCAATAGCATAGGCATTATGTAGGCTCACACATGCAACAAAGGCTGAAAACTCTTGGAACTCAAGGCACAAAAAGAACAAACATATTTTTGCATTTGTTACATCCCTGGGGAAAAAAACTGGATACAGGGAAGGTTTTTATTAGCTAGTAATATTATAAGTCTATATATAATTAGACGTTTGGAAAGAACTTTACTTGGGATTTGGGAAATTATTTAATGGTTTAGCATATACCTGTTGGTTATTGTATTAGCATTGGGATATGGCCATACTCAATTAAAAATGGTCATATTTAAAAATGGTCATATTTAGAATAATACAACCCAGATTTTTAGAAAAGAACTTTGGGAGTTTTGGGTCTCACAAGAACCCAGTCCTAGAGAGCTCAGGGTCTCAAGAAAAATACTAAAACTTTCAATATTTCTTAGCCCGTGGCATTCTTCAAAATAACACACAGACGAACCTGCCCTCCTAGCAGTGAACTCTAAGAATCGTAGCGCTTGAAGAACCAATGAGCTCAAGAAGATTATGCATCAACTGCTGAAGCACATTGGCGGAAATTAGTCAACCCGGAAGACACTCAGTCATTCATTAGTCTGCAATCCAGCATGTAGTGGGAGATGGCACACTTCGAACAAGGAAGATTCCAATTGGGAACCACACAACACAAACATAGATTTTCCAACATACTGGCTGAGAGGATCTCCTGATTCAGTTGCACCATTGAGATTTGCATTGTAACATCGCACGTAGACCAACTAAGGATAAGTTAGTATGCAACTATGCAGGGGGGGCAAAACTATGGTATTAGAATTTAGAAGTCCTCCTTTGGTTTAACATACATGAAATCATTAGAAAGAGATGGGAAAAGGTCCAGACTATTACAGGACTGAATGAACTTCTCTGTATTCATATGCGCCTATGAGGTATAAATCCAGAAGAAAATATCAGACAAGCATCTAATGTAACAGAGAGATTGAACTTCTACTGAACAATTATTACCCTACTGGGACTCTGGGAGTTCAGATATGTCAAATTCTTTAGGTCAAGTTATTTAGCATGTGAGTCCTCGAAAAAAATCCTAAATCATATGGAGTAATCTACTGAGTTGGAAGTCGGAATGATTGACAAAACAGAGTTACTTGCCGAATTTCCAGATATTTTCATTATTGGGTCATTTACTTTACTGGGTGCAACTCGGTTAGGGCCAACTCTGAAAGATTTCAAATAAAAAATTGACAAATGCATAAGGTTAACGCTCTAACTACTAAAGTATTGCAACAAGTACATAAGATCAGAAACTCATTTACACCTTAGAAACCCCATGATTGATGTTTCTCTCTGACAAATTCTTTCACTATAGAACAAATGTACTCCGGTAAAGAACTTATTATCCCTGATATCTTCCCATGTGAGCAATTCGAAATCCATATACTATTATTCAATTAATATTCAAACACACAGTAACAGCACCAATAATGAACACTAGATCCGCAAAGATGAGAAAAATTAAACCCTCCAACTATCGCGGAAGCAAAACTTTACATTTCTTCTCGTCCAAACAAGACAGCAACATGAAAAGTGAAGTCTTTAAGGTTCAAGAATGATATAAATATACAGATTCGGCTGACACAGAAAAACAGAGCTCAGGCAGCCATGGACACGGCTAAAATTCATAACTTTTCCGGGGGAAATAAAACATAAAACCAAACTACCAAAAAACTACCGGATGATATGAATCTGAAGAAAACATATCAGAAGCACTAAATCGCACGAATCAAAAATCAAAAAGCGGGGCGGCGGGATTACAGATTGAAGAAAGTACCTTTCTGGGATTCAATTATTTCACCAGACCAGAAGCGTTTCAGTGAGGGTCAGATGAGAAGTTACTATATCGATGGCAAATCAAACACGTAGCAGTTATTGGTATGCCCAGAAGGAGAAAGAACAGGGCTTTTTATGAGCCGGCACAAAGCGAGGGTAGCAGGAGCCAGGAAGTGAGGACAAAATGATGAGAGAGAGAGAGAGAAAGGAAGGGTTCTCGCGCGTGCGTGTATGGCGTCCGCAAATGCAGTTATATACACGGGCGCGCGTGCAGCGAGAGGGGCGCGTGGGGAAGCGGAAATGCGCGGTGGTACCGAGTCATCGCATAATAAAGCGGTGGATGTACGTTGAGCCTGGGCCCACCGGCATCTTTCTAGCACACCTAGCGTGGTCGCTCCTGCGTTTCCTCTCGTCTCCACGCCCCTGCCCGGCGTACTGTATGATTCCACGGATATTATCTGCCGATGCCGCGCGTGAGTGCTGTAATTCGTGCCCTGCGACTGGTGTATAATTATTAGACCAGTCATGTATTTGGGCCGTACAATACCTGCGACTTTCATTTTTTCTACTCCTACAAACATTACTCCAATACGGAAGTGTTGTTAAGGTACGTAATGTTCTAAACCCGTTTTACAAACAATATTTTGTTTGTCCAAAATATTGTATGTGAATCCCGATTTACAGACAGAAAAAAAACACTTCACAAATATAGGTGGGTACAAGGTTAGTATAAGAGTGAGTACAAACATCATTTTTGTATATTAATATAGAAAATTCATACTTCCTCCGACCCGAATTATAAGATACTTTTCGGTTTACGATGTTTGACTGACGATAAAACAAAAGGATCTCTGTCTATGCTCAAATTTTTTTTAGAAGAAAAAAATTACATATTCAAAAACTACATTACAACCGCTACAAAACCTGCAAAAAATAATTCAAATTTCATAAAATTTTGATATACTACCTCCGTCCCACTAAGATTGGGACAAGAGAAGGTGGCACGATTATTAAGAAAAGTGGGTTTGTGTGGTTGATATTAAATTGATAAAATAAGAATAAAGTAAGAATGATTTAGAGTCACACAAACTTTACCAAATTTGGTATGAAACAATCTTAGTGGGACTTCCCAAAAAAGTAAAATATGACAATCTTAGTGGGACATGGGAGTATAAAGTAAGAGATTAAGAGTGATTTGTATTGACTAAATGAATAGCAAAGACATCTTATAAAATACTCCCTCCGTCTCTTAAATTCTGTTAAGTTTGATCGGCATGAGGATTAATAAAGTAAAAACTCTATGTTTGAAGTTTGTGCAGAGGAGAGATAATTAACTGGAACCACAAATTTTTTACTTAAAGGAAAAATGACAAAGTTGGTGGGACATAAAAAAAAAGAAAAGTTGGCAAAGTTTTAAGGGATAGAGAAAGTAATATTCAAACAATTATGATAAAGGCGTTTGTAATTTCTAAGAATTGATACAAAATCAGTCACCCCATACAAAACAATCTAATTTGCTATGCATGAAATAGATAAATTTAAGTTTAAACAATCGGAACTGAAACGTTGTCTATCAATAGTATTCCAAATATCCAAACCAAACATACTTGAAGTAAAATAAAGGTAAGTACTACTAAAAGGAAAAGGAAAAAGGGTCAAATAAACCCATGTACTATTGTGAAAGTATCATCTAAGCCCCTTTACTAAAAAAAAGTATCACACGAGTACATCTACTATTAAAAAACAATCAACCATGTCCAACCACCGGGAAGCAACCTGCTATAACAGGTTAGAGTAAGTTTTGACCTTTTTTTTTTCATTTTCCATTTTCTTCTTTTCTTGCTCTGGCCATGATCCGATTGTTTCGATATGGGAAAGTTCCCGAAATAGGACTAAAAAAGTTTGAAAATTCCAAAATAGGACTGTCATGTTTTTATTCCTAAAATAGGACTAATTACTGCCAAATTTGGAAAATACTGCCATGTTTGAAGTCTGGTACTGCCAAAACATGACAGTAATTAGTCCTATTTTGAGAATAAAAATATGAAAGTCCTATTTTAGAATTTTCAAACTTTTTTAGTCCTATTTTGGGTAATATCTCTTTCGATATTCTCGCTGCAGCCATTTGTTGGCTTACCTTTTTTCTTCTTATCTACCCCAGTGTACTCCATAGTCCATATCGTTCGTTCCATTGTTTTTTTTGTTGGTTGTTCTTCTTTTTCCCCTTTTTTTCCTTTTATATTTGTTGTCTTTCTCTTTAAAAAGTATTTTTGGCATTTTTCTAATTATGTCAATAAAATATCATCATTGGCTCATAAATAATCTCATTCTTGAAAAGTAAAGATATGATTTAGAGCCTGTTTGGTAACACTGTATTCGACTTATCAGACTTATCAGTCAATTTTTTCACCAAACACGTAACTTTTGGAGTTACTGTAGATGACCTTTTTAGCTATTTTTACATATAATGTTTTCTTGATTTTATTAATAATATATACTTTAAACATAATATTCTTCTTAAATCAGCAGAATCAGCCAATGCAGACATTTCATCAAGAACTTCATAAATTTCAGCAGAATCAGCTAAATCAGCCGATTTTCCGGTTGTCAAATAGGCTCTTATTATTAAAGTTTTTTTTGAGAAAAATCAGACTTTAAATCTTTCAGTTACTATCCCATGTTTTTTGGAGGTATTATCCATGCTATTTATATAACATTGACATTTTTAATATTGTAACTTTAGAAATAGTAAAAAAAATTATACACTTCCGTACAAATTTTCAAATCTTCCACACCGACATTTTTTGTATCTAAAGTTATACCGTAGATAAAATCTTACTCCGTAATTAAAATCATTCAGACATTAAATGTCTAGCGTAACCAAAAAAAATTTCAAACGCGACAAAAAAATTATACACTTTTTGTGACATCCATTTACTGTTTTTATCATGGATTTTTCAGAGTGAGAGGCCGTCTGGTAACAATATTTTTCGGCTTATGAGGTTTATCAGTCAACTTCTTTACCAAACACGTAACTTTTATTTTCGTGCACGAAATTGTGTAATAATAAGAATAGGTAAAGTCAATGTTACTTTTTTTGCCGTATTGGCTGAAGTTACAATAGATGACCATTTTAGCTATTTTACATATATATTTTTTCATATTTTTATTAATAAATTATATTTTAAACGTAACATTTTCTTAAATCAGCAGAATCAGCCAATGCAGTCACTTCAGCCATAACATCATAAATTTCAGCAGAATCAACCGAGTCAGCCGAGTCAGTCGATTTTCGTGTTACCAAACGACTTTAATTGTTTTTTTCTTGTTCCCTAACTCATCTAACAGAAGTTGTCGGCACGTACAAAAGATTCTGAAAATATGTACAAAAAATTACATTTTTTACCGACTTAAACATCTAAGTCTGTTCTGGACATTATTGTCTGTAAGCATGAACTCCTTCGACCGAATCTGATATAGTAAACATTTGGTGAATGTGTATTTTGTTATTATCTAAATATAACATGATCTTGTTAAATCTGATCTAATCTGATTTGATATGTTTAAGTTGGGCGTGGACTCGTATAAGACTGGAAATTGTAAATTAAAAATAACCTAAGAAGGAAGGAAGAAAAAAAAAAGTAAAAAGGAAAAAGAAAAAAATGCAAAGAAAAAAGAAAAATTTAATGTGGAACGAAGAGAACAATGAAGACAGAAAAATTAGGAGAAAGCAAAGTTGAAATAGAGAATACGATAACGAAAAACAATGAGAAAATGAGCTTGAAGCCTTTGGGGTACATGGGAGTAAAAAACGGCCTGGAAAACGTTGAAGAAAAAACAAGAAGGAACAGAAAATGGAAAAGAAAAATGTGGATGACTTGTTATAGCAGGTTGCTATTAGGTCACTTGACCATATTGATGTTTTTTTGAAAGTAGGTATACTTAAGTGATTCTTTTTTTAGTAGAAGGGCTTAGGTGATGGTTTCGTAATAGTACAGGGGCTTATTTGACCCTTTTTTAAAATTGAAACAAAGTATTTTCACAAAATTCTTCCTGGCACGGAGTTGGTTCTGGAGGAGGACGGACTCTACCATTATCTACAAAAACCAAAAGAAAAGCAGTCATAAATCTCTGACCAAACAAAGCTGATCGGGACACCAAAACAACTCCCCACGCCGAGAGAGACAAAACAACCCAAAGCGCAAGTGCCCAGGAAATAACCGTCAAAACACAAAACAAACACAACTAGAAAAGAAGATCAACTTAGTTGGTCATACCCTACCAAGAATTTTTGTTGCCCGGAACAATACATATATGGAACTCGTTACCCACTTGGATGTGTTGTTCATGCTCTTTCAGTTTTACATGGATCTAGAGGTTGGACGATGCATATAATCCAAGAGGCAGGCGGACCGCAACAACGCATCAGGCTGGAGTGCGAGTGACTGGAGGCGCGACGTCACAATTCGCCTCTCGCCTAGGGTTTCACACGATTTCTTTTATTAATAATTAGGAAAATTTGTACAAAATTTGTACACACTATATAAAAACATCAAATTTTATCAATTTTATTCTCCATTTTTTTCCTCCTCTCTTCCCTCTGTACCCAGTTTTGTTGGATATCCAAAAGAAGATCGGATCATCTTCTTATCTTCTTCATGATCTTCTTCCCTTCTTCATCCTCTTCTCCTCTACTTTTTTTATATTCATTTTTTACATTACTTGCACAAAATTAGTTTATTTATCAACTTCCATCATTTTATTATCTTTTCATTTTTTTCAAATTGCATGTAAATTGAGGACACATACAACTAAATCATTCATTTGAAAGCATATTGTCAATGAAATATTTTGTTCACCCAAACAATCAAAATTGATCACAAAAACAATTATTGTCTGTGAACAACATAATTATTTTTTGAAACAAAATCTATGTGAACACAGACAATTAAAAATGACAACGCAAACAACTATCGTCTGTGAGCCCACAACTATTGCATGTGTGGTGAAATATATATGAAAAGTCTACATTTTGATCACAAAAAAAAGCGTCTGTGCACATACAATTATTGTTTGTGCACACAAGCATTGCACACAGATTGATGGTTTGCACGCAAGTGTCAGGCGCCTGTCAGTGTAGTTTTTACACGAAAATTAATGTATGTGGGCATAGACAAGAATTGTCTGTACACACACAACTCTTATATGTGCTCGCTTGCAG